GGATGCTTCCCCGCCCTCCATGACGAAGCCCCAGTGGAGCAATGCTCACCATTCTGCCTCAAGAATTCAGATGACAGCAGGACACCAGCCTATTAAGATGAAATGAATACCTGACCCAAATTCAACGTCTCAATATCGTAATTCTTTACCAAATTTAAAATAAAAAATGAAATTAAAAACCAACTTTTATTTTTCTGTTTTTCTTTTTTTTTTGGCCCGGCCAGGCAAGTTGTCCCGGGCCACTCTTGTAGCCCAGGTTTCTTTCGTAATTTGCACTGGGGGGGGGGAAGAGGGAATAATAATTACAAAAATAATAGTAATAAATGCACTGGGTTCCATAATCCATTGGCCGCATTTTTCTACAGACTTACGAATGTAGCGGCCCGCTACAACCGGTAAGTAGTGAACATGTTTTTCAACTGGAACGGAAATGCGGTGCAATGCGCTGAACCTCTTGAAGGAGGTAACTTGGGCAAGGAGAAGGCAGGCCCTCCTCTTCTTTAACCACCACTGCACCCGGGCCTGGAGGCGACTTACTGTGCGCCAAGCTTTGCCGAACCGCCAGCGCCGCATTTTCTTTCTTTCTTGGCGGGCGCCCCCAGCCATTGTCGTCCGGTAGCCTGAGCCTACGAAAATTTCGTGGGCGACCAGTTGCATTTTCAGGAAGGCTGGGGCCGTGTACCGGCGGTTTAAAGTGAGTATGCTTTCATTGCACTTTAAAACCATGAGCACCCCCTGTGAAAAGCAAAGTTGTGGCTTGTTTACAGCCGCATTTTTCAGGGGTTTGGCTGCCCGACCGAAATGGCTGGTGGAGCCGGCCAAAAGCTGGCCCGCGGCGCTTTGTTTGTTCTCTGGCGCGCAGGGCAAATTTAGGGTCAGCTGGGCAGGGTACTGGTGGCTTGTTCTGTGGAGCACAAACCTAAAACACAGGCCTTTTCTTTTCTTTTTTGAACCGTGCTCCATCATCTATTGGTGGGGAGCAGCACCTGCTGGAAAACAGGTCCAGGATACTAAAATGCGGGCCTTGCTCCACTACTTTTTTCTTTTTTTTTTAAGTAATCTATGGGGCTCGTTCCACACTCCTCGGGGCATCCTCGGGCCCCGAGGACGATTCCTTGGAGTCACCCGAGGAAATTCCCGCCTTTGTTCCACTCATCCTCGGAAATGTTCCCCGAGGACGATTCCTCGGGTGCTCCCGCGGCCAGTTAGGTATTTCGATACGCGAACGCGGGGGGGGGTGGCGAGGTTGGTCCAGCGAGTTGTGTTTGTGGCGTCGTCCTTGGTCCAGGAGCTGTGGGTGGCGCGAATTCGAAAGTACGCGGCGGAAAAAAAAAAAGGCTACGAAAACGGCGCGCAGTCCCGGATTCGAATTTCGAAATTCGAATTCCCGTAAGCGAATGACGGCGGCGTGGGTGTCCCTTACGGCTGACGGCAGCAACGTTCGTCGGCGGGACCGGTTGGGTACGGGGTGGCGGCTGCGTGGCTTCTGCTGCCTCGCCGAGCGTCCGTGAATACGTCCGAAGCAGCACGGCCGCCGTCACACGATCGCCAACGTTGTCTACTTCGCTACGCGCACCTTCGCCGTCGACGTGCACGCCGTACAGTCGAGTTGTCACGACGCGGCATCGCTGTTGTTCCCACCGAAGTCGAGCCTTCTTCACTTGGCGACGACAAGCGATGGACGTGGACGGGGACGCGGTTCATGACACACTCAGCAAGGCGGAGAGGGCGGTTGTGGCAGCGGCCGTGAACATGATACTCATCAGGTGTCAATTGGAGAGGACCGAGGGGAGGATGAGAGCAGCCATTCGCGCACGCCGGAAGAAGACGCTGCAGTCCATGCATGTGGACGAGGGCAGTGGTGCCATTTGCGACGCCGTCCTTCAGGTGTGTGCTATGCCATGGGGTGTGGAGCATTTCCCAGAGCGACGCCCAGGTGGTGGATGAAGCATCGAACAGGGGGGGGGTGGGAGGATCTGCGGCAATGCGACGACGCGACAGAAGACTACTTCAAGGAGAAGCTGCGCATGTCGCCACAGGTGTTCTGGGAGATAGCGGAAGCTCTGTCTCCCTTCCTTCAACGGCGTGTCACTTTCTATAGGGAGCCCCTCCAGCCTGACCTCATTGTAGCGTTCGCTTTGTACAAATGGGCATCGGGGGAAACGTACGAGAGCGGGACGTGCAGCTTCGGCATTGGCAGAAAGTCTGGGTTGGTGGCTATGCGGGATGTAACTTCGACGTTGCTGAGTGCGTACCGCGACAAGATATCGTGGCCAACGGGGCTGCAAAAGGCGGTCGTCTTGCTCGCTTTCGCTGACAAGGGTTTCCCCAACTGCCATGGATGCATCGATTGTACCCACATCTTCATCGACAAGCCAGCCCATTGCCCCGAAAAGGACTACTACGACAGAAAACGTCGTTTCTCCGTCCAGGCTCAGGTGGTTGTCGATCTGAACTTGTGCGTGCTGGATGTGTTCGTCGGATACCCGGGGAGTTGCCACGACGTGAGGATCGTCCACCTGTCCAGTTTGTGGGCGCGCACGGAGGCAGTGGAGCTTTTCACAGGGCCACCTGTCATGCTGCCTTTCGGTGTGCGGACGAACGGGTATCTACTGGGCGACAACGGTTACCCCCCCTCGAAATGGGTAGTCGTCCCCTACGGCGGTGTATCACAGCACCTGTCGGAGATGCGGTTCGACAACAAGCAGAAGACGGCGAGGGGAGCAGTCGAGAGGGCTTTCGGCAGATTGAAGAGGATGTGGAGGTTGTTCCTTCGCTCCCACAAGACGAACATGGAGACGTTGCCGCAGCAATTCGTCGCCGTCTGCATTCTGCACAACATACTCATCGACGCGGGCATCCCGTTCGACGACAATGCTGTGGGAGGTCGGGCCGGATGGTGTTCGTTGCAGGGTGGACCTTGGGATGCAACGCCCGTTGAGGCAGATGTGTATGGAGTCGTCGACGGGGGATGCGTTGATCCTCCGGGATGCATTGGCAGAGCGAATGGGTACGCAGTGAAGACGGCCAGTCGTTGGGAGCGGGCGGCATGCAGCCGCTGAGAGAGAGAGAGAGAGAGAGAGAGAGAGAGAGAGAGAGAGAGAGAGAGAGAG